GGAGATAGAGATATACTTCAAACTCAAGGTGTAACGACCTGGGTCCCACTTAACGGGTTGTCCCACCCGTTAGATCGACGATGTACTGTTCTCACTGTACTAACATGGGTCTTTTCAGCATGCTTTGTCCTCACTCGCACGCTCCCCAAGAAAACTTCACAAGGGATCACCCATCATAGAATTGCTCCAAGTCAAGCACACTTAACTGCAGAGTTTCTAACAATGGACTTCCGGAAAAGAAGATGCACCTTGTTGGTATGAGTAGTACCTATCAAATCTTTTAAGCTTTCCTAGTCTAGGAATTACACAAGGTAACTCATTGAGTATTTTCATTACGATTTAATGCGGTTGGTTGGATTTTTATCAACGTAGAGATATAGTGGGTAAAACCAATCAATTATGGTTAAATTTGCTCAAATGAGGTAATTAACTAAACTTGAAAAACTGGGTCTAACATTTTAACTTGGTAATTTGCATTTTCGGTTTATTGCGATATTAAAGAAATGATGGTTAGGTGACATCGTAAATCCCAACTCATTTATAATCCGAATTTCCTTCTCTTTTATAATTGTTATTTTAATTTATCTTCAAATTTATTTTCTTTTTCGTCTCACATATAAAATCAAATTGTGTGTTTTCAATTGTTAAAATTGAGTCAACAATTATGTAGTTAAAAAAAAATATTCCTCGAATGGTCAATATTCAGAATCACAAGTCCACTTTATTACTAGAATGCAACCATGCACTTGCGATATATAATTTTAGCGAACATATAGGTTTGCAATATATATATATATATAAACTTCAAAATACTAATTTGAGCAAAAAAATTAACGAAGTTGTCTTACGTAAGCTTTCAATCACTACTTTTTTGATGTTTTACTTCTATTATGAGATGAATAGTTTTACGCTCTACACACCAATACGTTCGTGTGAGAAGTTATTAGCGTTTTTCTCTTTAATTGAACTTTTTCCATTTTCTTTGGTCAATTTATTTGATCAAAGAGCGACTACAATAATTTCTGAAATTTCACCACAAAGATATCCATAACTATCTCATATATAAATTGGAATCAGATATATAAATTCAAATATTATTAAATTTTAAAGGTACAAAATATCAGTCAATATTANNNNAGGTACAAAATATCAGTCAATATTAATGTACCATATGATTATAATAACTCCTAATAATCTTTTCTATCTCTTATAAGAGTAACGTTATTTAACACAAGTGATATTTCACACTAATTTAAAAGATGGTGAGGCCAATGTCACATTATCCAATGAAGTTGTAATGCACTTTTATTCATCAGACAACATGACTATACTAGCTTCACTATCATTTAGAGGAGTGCTACACACTACTTGTCTTACGTTACATTATTTTTCACACTGGGATCTTCAACTTCCAGTATAGGAACACTGGAGTATAAGAGAAGAAAAGGGGAGAGAAATCTAGTTGTCTTGGATCTTCGCATAATCCAAGTTCACTTTGCCATCTACTGTATTACTGAGCTGTGTTTCTACATATTCTATGTATTTGAATGGCCGAGACAGTGGACGCCCATCTCTTTGTACTAATGGTGAAGCTGGGCCAACAATGGCATCTGGTGCTGGACCATTGGCTATAACAACTGAAATTCTTGTCGCTTGGTTATTCACAACAGCTCTATGCTTCACACTCTTGTATTTCCCATTGCTGAATATCTGCCAACAAACACCATTTGATTTGATTTGTAAAGTAAAAACTATCCTAATTTCTAGCATGTTTGGCAAAGCTTTAAGTAGCTTTGGCTGTTTTTTTGCAGTTAGCACATGTTCAAATTTGATTTTTCGCGGTAGAAGAAAAAAGATTTACCTCAAGCTGATCGGCAGTGTTAACTAGCTAGAATGGAATTCTGAGGTGAATTTGTATTAAACCACTTCCCATTATGTTGAATTTGTAGTCCAGCCACTCCATTGTGTATCAAAAAGGTCAAAATACCATGATCTGTATGTGGTGGGAGCCCAATTGCTTGATCTGGCTGTGGACAAGGTGGATAATAATTTACAGCAAATAGTTGGAACATTGAGTCCAACTTTAGGATTTCTTCCACGTATCCTTCTTCCAATCCTAGGTTTTCAGACATCCCTTGGAGTAATGTTCTTGCTACAAATCGGCTTCTTTCAGCGTACTCTAATATAATCTCCCTACAACAAAATACGAACGCTTAACATGATAAGTTATATCATAATTTCTGAGCTATGTTCCTCCTAAGTTTTTATTTCTAATGTGAATTAAGTACCCCCATTGTTCTAAGAAAGGGATAATGGGAAGTGGTTTTGAGGTTTATCTGGATAATGAAATTCAGGATGGACAT